GCGTGCATAATAAGATCGAATAAATGTCCCGTATTTTTTTTTTTTTTTTTTTTTTTTTTTTTTTTTTTTTTTTTTTTTTTTTCTTTTTTATTCTCCCTTGTTTTTTTACTCTTTACTTTGATTTTTGATAACGCAAATTTTTTTTTCTTTTTCTTTGTCTCGGGAAAAAAATTTCACGCTGATATTTGCGATAAAGTTTTATAACGCACGTTTAAGATCTTAATCTCTGGGCATTTAATTGAAGTAGTTAAGAGATCTTTCCCTTCCTCCTCGAAGGAAGTTACAGTAGCGTCGTTAGCATAAACGATTGCCTCTTCCTGCTTTCTACCTTGCATGTGTAATACTAACCGAGTCATTAAAACTGACAGACAAAGGAAAGGAGAGGAATGCATCATGCCTAAGAACGTGTATATATTTAATCTTTTACTATCTGTACAATTCCTTCTGCAAAATTTCATCGTTTAAATCGAATACCTTTTCTTTCTATTTTATTATTTTTCCCATAGATTATTTATCGGAATTTAATTCTTTGGTAATGTCTAATGATTTGTGGGAAAGAATTTAAATATAAACTTGCGATATCATTTCTTTTGTCAATTGTTAATAATTTGAAAACGTTTACAGTGCAATCGGTTGCCGGTAAGTAATGTATTAACATTGCTAATTTCAAGAATAATCAAACGTTGATGTATATGTTACTTTTTAACTTACACAATTTAAGATTATAATATAGACACAAGTTTGTATAATTTATAATGTATAGTGGTGTGAAATGTAATTTAAAAGAAACTTTGAATTTGTAAGAAATGAATTGATAGCATATCTCATTACTCTATTTACTTAAGTATATTTATTATTATCACGTATTCGTATTAAAACAAGAAGTAAAACATTGACTCGATTAATATGACTAATAATATACGCAAACGCGTAATTTAAACGATGCGCATCATAATAGAAACGCGATATACCAGTTCTCCGTGATTATCTATTTGCTCTATTTCTCTGCGTTGGTTGTGAAAAATAAATTTGATACAACGCGAGAGCGTGATTTAACGTCTTTTCCTGGGGAATGCTAGGAGATCTCGTCAAACATCGAAGTAGATCGAATTACGTTTATACTTTTTCAGTTTGCTAGAGAGTTACGGGATCCGTGAGTCATACGATCGAACCACCAAACGTATCCTAACTGACACAAGAGTGTAATCGGAGAACTTGTGAAATCCCCATTAGGTTTCATAGTAAATAGATTCGATGATGTGGCAAAATAATCATCTGTTTTTTTCCTTGAACATCGTTAGAGAAAAATATTGATTTATTAACAAAATACCATTACCAAAATAATAATCTATCGAGATAGATTGAATTCATTATTATTATGTTGAATGAAAATTGATGGATATAGTAGAAAAAGATAGGTTAATTGTAGGACAATTGCGTGGAATGATTTAACGATCGAAGTATGATTACGGGGTGTCCTTATCGTTGTTCGGACCTTAACAGAGAATCCATGCATGAACGTTGTAGCAATCGAACGGGAGTAAACTCTATCTGAATGGTTGGCAATAGACTTCATTGATGTCATTACGATCGGGGTTTACCGGAAGCGAGTGGTGTGGAACAGGAGCAAATAGTTTGGGTTTACCAATTGTTCTCTCAGGCATGTCGTCGATCTCCATTCATGGAATCGTTCTAGCGATAGCGAAGGACAACCTGCTGGATTGGATCCTCGATGACCTTTTCACCAATCGAGCGAACGATTGTGTCGTGCTAATTCCATTGGCAATCTCGAGCCAATTCCAAATTGTCGTCCAGAGTTTCAAGACAATCTAGAAAAGAAGAAACAACGAATCAGTAAATTATTTTACAAGTTGGGATCGATTTTGTCGAAATTCAGCTAATTCGGAAACAATAGAAGGTTGGTTGCTCGAGTGTGTCTCAAAGGAAAAGAGCATCTTTTTGCTAGTTAAATAGAGTAGCGTTTAACGATAAAGCATCGACCGGTTAATGTCCACATAAATTAACACAGAATGAGAGAGAGAAAAAGCAGACAGGCAGACTGTTGGACAGCTGATCGATGGTCGGTAGTTAGCGTGTATATAACCGCGGGAACGGTAGGGAGGTGGAAGTTGAAATCGTGGTCAAGGGGCTAGCAGGAAAGGAAGAGAGAATGCCGATGGAGATGGTTTTGGTGGTAGCGATGCTGATGGTGGGGGGTTAGTCTTTCTCGCGCGGCCAGCCGTCTCCGATGCCGAACGAACGAACGAACCAACCAACCAACCAACCAACGAACGTACGTACGTTTGGACGATGGCCAAAATGCCGCCGGTAAAATTAATCGTTCCCTGACACGAATTCCTCTCTAAGTGGAAATACCAATTTGTAGACTAGAAAGAGAGGGAAATAAAGGGAAATGAGAGATCTTCAAGGGGTGGTGGTGGTGGTTACTTTCTAAACACGTAGTTGTTATATCGAATCCTCGAACTAACAAGCTGCTTTACTGTGCGTGAACATACACACTTGTATTGTTAAACGATGTGTGCTCGCTGATTATTGGCCATCACCCAAAATCCATCCAAGATTTTACCTCTAAGGCAGCAACGTTGTTTGTTATCGCCGATAAAACTACGAAAGATGTCTTTCGAAATAATACGACGTTTGCTGATGAAGCATTGAACGTTATGAACACATAATGCCTAGCGCTTTCTCGATAACTTTTGCTTTTACCAAAACCAAGTTCCAAGTTTTCTAACGAAGCTCGTTTATTTTTTTTCGTTACAGATCCAACGCACTACGAAACTTAGTTTAACTTGGCATAAAAGAAAGATCGTAAAGACGTCGCGTGACCGGACTAGAAAAATGAATCGGCTGTGAATCCAGGAAGGAAGGAAGGAAGAAATAAAGGCCGGAACCCCAAGCGATCTTGGCGAGTTTCCCAGAGATCTTCGGAGTCACCGGATAACATCTTAGAGAGTAGGAATTCGAAATAAGATTGGTCGTGTTTGTGTCGGTGATGTGTCGTGATCGGTAGTGACCCTGTGTTCGTGGCCCCGAGGGGGCGTAATCTTCAGTGCTTTATGTGTCGATGGTGCAAAGGAGTCTATTCGTTGGATCTAAAAAGGTTTGGGAATATCCAGGATATATGTAGTATATAAATTCAAATAAATATCAACGGAATCACAAGAGGGAGAGTAAGAAGAGAAGGAGGTGCATAAAAAGGTGTTTTTGCGCGCGCGCGCGCGCAATTTAAAATAGAGAGAGAATAAAAAAGAGTTATTATTGTGTAGAGAGAGAAGGGAAGATATATAAAATATTAAAAGAAAAAGAAAATATAAAATAAAGAGAGAGTAAGAGAGAAGTGCGCGCGCGGGTTGTTTTATTTGGATATCGAGAACACCAAAAGAGTAGCCGCGGGGTAAGTGATGTGTTCGATGGACGAGGCGCGTCTCGCGGGCGGTGGTCGGGGTAAAACGAACGCGTGTCGCTCGCGCTGCCATTATTCGGGATCCGTGAGAAAAGGTGGGCAGTCGGTGATCAGGCTGGCGGGTGCCGGGGAAACGTTTCCAAGGGCATGGCGACCACGCCACTAGGCGGTCGCCTCCCTAACATTAACCGCAAAGGACCATCCCCGTGTATCGGTGGTGGTGGTGCTATTAGTAACGGCAGCATCGTCAACAACAACAACAACAACAACACCAACCACAGCGACAACGGTGGCAACATAAACGGCAGTCTTAGTAGCAGCAACAGTAGCAGCAGCAGCAACAGCGGTGGTAGTAGTAGTAGTAGTAGTAGCGGGGGCGGCAACAACAACAACAGCAACTGCATAGGAAGTAATAATAATAACAACAACGGTGGTAGTCAGAGAAGGCAAGAACGTAACACAGTTGGGAGGGATCATCATCGGCATCACCACCATCATCATCATCATCATCACCATCATCATCATCATCATCATCAAGGTCGAGACAAGTCAGGAGCTGCAGTAGCAGCTGCAGCGGCAGCAGGGTCATCCTCTATCTCCTCTATCTCTTGTTCATCCGGTTCGTCCAACTCCTCTTCTTCTACCTCCTCATCTTCCATCTCCTCTTCCTCCCCCCAGTCCTCGTTGTCATCTAGCAGTGCGTGCCAGCAGCGCGAGGCTAAAACAAGCACGGTGGCTGCTAACGCCGGTGAACTGGATCCGGCCGCGACTAATGCGACCAACAACTTTGAATACGACGACAACGAATGGGACATTGGCATAGGGGATCTTATAATCGATCTTGATGCGGACATTGAGAAGACGAGGGACGAGAAACTGAGCTCCTCGGGGACAGGCATGGCTTCTACGCCTGCCTCGGCAGCATCGGCAACAAATAATCCGAATCATCATCATCTTCAAAACTCAGCGTCAGCTTTGAACTCGTCTAACTCGTCCAGCTCTGTATCCGGGTCTGTCGTATCGTCCAGTGTTGTAGTATCGAACGCGGTTAATCAGTCTTCTTCGTTATCGTCCAATTCGAATTCGTCTAACTCGTCTAGCGTGTCATCGTCCTCGTCGAGCTCCTCAGGCTCGTCCTCGTCATCGTCGTCCTCCTCCTCCTCTTCGAACTCTTCCTCGTCTGGTGGTGCCGGTGGTGGTTGCGTCGTCGTCGTCGGTAATTCGGGAAACGGCCGAGCCCAAAGCCCCTGTAGCTTAGGCGCAGGTGGCAACGGACCTACGGCGAACGGACCGATTGTCATCGGCGGTAACAACGGTACTACTAATAACAATCAGACGAGCAACGGTTCAACATCTTCGCAGGTGCAGCAGCAGCTAGTTACGGGAGGAAAGCAAGGGTCCGCCGCGACTGTAGTGGCCGCAGTAAACGCCGTGATACACGGTAGCGCCGGAAATCCCGGCAAGATGGCCGTTGAACATTCGGCGACCGTCGACAAGGGCCTCAAAATGAAGATCAAGCGTACGAAGCCCGGCACGAAGAGCAGCGAGGCCAAACACGAGATCGTCAAGTCGAACGAGATCAACGGGACCGCTTCCACGCAGGACAGCAGCAACAACGGATCCACCCAGTCGTCGAGTTCATCCTCGGGGTCCTCGGCGGCGGCGGCGGCGGCAACGGCGGGTTCTGGTGGCGGCGGCGGTGGTGGGGCCTCTTCCTCGGTTTCCGTCGGACAAAACTCTCAGAATTCGGAGTGCGGAAGCGGTGCGGGTGGTGGTAGTGGTGGTGGTGGTGGTGGTACCGGTGGTGGAAGTGGTGCTGGTAGTGGTGGTAGTGGTAGTAGTGGTGCCGGTGGTGCCGGGGCCGGGGGTAACAATACCACGGCCGGGCAGACCGGTGCTACCGGACAATCGTCTTCCTCGAACAAATCTAAACCAAGCCACTCGCCGGGCTCGGCGACCGGCACGGGAAACGCGCAATCCTCGACGGCGGGTTCGAAGCGCGGCTCGAGCGGACACCGTCGCGAGAAGGCTCGCGAGAAGCACGAGAAACAACAACCTCAGAACAATCATACGCCGCAACAGTCGAAACCGGAGATGAACGGAACGGCCAGACCGCCGGCACCCCAGAGTCAGAACTCGGCGGGACAAGCAACCCAGTCGCAAGGACCGACGCCGGCAGCGACGGCGCCCCAACAGACTCAGGGACCGCCGCCCAGCTCGAGAACGGGATTTTCCGTGTCGCAGGGGGGCGGGGCCGGGCCCCCGGCGACTAGCGCCGCGGCGCCCTGTCCGCCCCCGAGCCCTGCCAGCGCCACCGCGGCGGGGGCCCCGGCTAAGCCGGAACAAACTAAGGTGGCCTCCGTTCCGGGACCACCCTTAACCACGCCGGCCGAGGAGGCCATCGACACCGCTGCTAGTCCGCCTCCGGCCAAAAAGATGAAGACCTCCAATTCCGAACCAAAGGTAAAACACCCGTCCCGGCAGTCCAACAACCAAACAGTCTACCTCCTTAATGTACCTTATATTTATCGCTTAGCCCGTCTTTCAGACGTTTCATCGACTCTGCGACCGAAACATCGACCATTTTAATTAGTCCCTATGGGAAACGCAAATGATTTAATGAATCAGCCGCTCGCGAGGCTTGTCATTTAACTCTCGCGAGTTACCGCTGCCGCTACTACCGTTGCTGCTGCTGCTACTACCTACTACTACTACTACTACTACTACTACTACTACTACTACTACTATTTCTACTACTACTACTACTACTACTCAACAACTACTACTACTACTATTACTATTACTATTGCTACTACTGCTGCTGATACTGTTACTACTACTCTTATTGCTACTACCGTTTACCGTTCGACGATAGTCACTTTATTCCTCGAAATAATTCAATTAGAAATACTTCACGGTTGGGATTTTCTCACGCATTGATTTAAAAAGTTGCAAACTTTTTGTTCTCTTTTCTTTTTTTTCATTTCAATTTGATTCGTACAAGAGACCGAGATCGTGAACTCTCTTTCTCTCTTCGTCCTCTCTTCTTGCTCTGTTTCTCTTTTCAGCGAGCTCTCGTAAATCCTGCTGCTACATATCGTTCCTTGATCCCGTCCGTCAAAAGCCGTGCATTATTTCCCCTCGAAAAGATCTCTAACGTTATCCGATTTTACGCTCGGCCGCACGCGTCGAGTCGGTTGAGCTTCGACACTAGGCCAACACGAATTTTTCACTCGGAACTCTCTCTCTCTCTTTATCTTGAGTTAGATGGGAATTTGTGTATGTGTGTGTGTGAGAGAGAGAGAGAGAACAAAATAGTTATCCTTTCCAAGCGTAGAACTCTGGAGCCTTGAAGATTCAGAAATCGCAATAAGAATTATTTCCAAGAAATAAAAAGGAAGAGAATATTTTCTTTCTTCGATTATTTTTTTTTTTTTTTTCTTCCTCTTGTTCCGATGAAGAATCGACGAAGGTTTCACAGCACAGTCGCCTTGGCACACATCGACTCGTTCTCTCTCCGCGTTTCTCACTNGATGGGAATTTGTGTATGTGTGTGTGTGAGAGAGAGAGAGAGAACAAAATAGTTATCCTTTCCAAGCGTAGAACTCTGGAGCCTTGAAGATTCAGTGTGTGTGTGTGTGCGTCGTTGTAAATAACAATGTGAAGTATAATGATTATTGTTGTAAGTGATTTTTTTTTTTTTTTTTTTTTTCTCTTTTCTTCCTCTTGTTCCGATGAAGAATCGACGAAGGTTTCACAGCACAGTCGCCTTGGCACACATCGACTCGTTCTCTCTCCGCGTTTCTCACTCGTATACACACACATGCACGCACGCACGCACGCGCAGCGTGTATGTTATAAGCACGTAATCCTGTCCTCTTTCATATTTAAACAAGTCGGTATAATTATTTCGTGAATTGATTGATTCGACAAACAACATATATTTGACGTAGAAATTAATTAAAGGAATGTAACGTCGAAGTTGTTGAAGCAGCCACCAATCGAAGAATCGTTATTTGAAATCGTAAAAACCGTGAAGGAAGTTGACTCGAGGTATCCTCGTTTTTCTCATCGAAGTAAATAGAAGTTAATTTCCTTTTTCGTAAACGTTATCTGCATACTCGTCGATGAGAAAAACTCGATCGCGTATCTTGCCGTAGGATCTTCGATCCTTAAAACTCGCGTGAAAATGGAAGAAAACCGAATAAGATCTAAAAAGTGAGAGAAAGAAATGAAAATGATTGACGTAGAGAGATCAATCGTAGATCGGATGATCGATCAATACGTGTAAGAATAAACGTCGATCTACTAGAATCATCGTATACGGTTAGGGGTTGTATGAGTAATGGGGTGGGGGTAAAATAAATTGTGCGTGGTCGCACTTCTCAGTCAATTACCAGACGAGTTCTACGCTCATTAGCATTAGCCTTCCAGCGCACGTGCGTTTCGCACAACCCATAGTCCTGAATTCCAGCTGTCGAGTTCCTTTTAAAGAAAGACAGAATGAGACAAACAAATAGATAGACGAACTATAAACGAGTCTAAAGCAGTATTCTTCGAGTTAAACTAAACCTAATTGGATCAGACCATCTACGCATCGCGTTTCTACTAAATACTTTTTTTTTTAACCCTCTAACTAACTCTGGCGAATGAAAGCATCTGACGAGACAAATCATTTCCGTTCCCGTTATTTGCGTAATGCGTATGATTTTTTCAACGATGAAAGTTTAGAGAGATAAATTTGCAAATGAATTTGATCAAAAATCACTATAGGTATTTTTCCTAGTTAAAGGGTTAATCTATACGCTGTTGTTTTCCAAAGTCATCAATTAGCGCAAATGCGATTTAAATATCCGTTCGTTTAAAACAAAAAAAAGGGGAGGGTGGAAAAAGAAGAATTCTGTTTTATCGAGCATTCGAAATAAAACTCTTCGAATTCCGAATTTCAGGTCATCAACGCTTCTGTGATTGCATAGAGAACGAAATGTGGAAGTTCGGATCGATAAGTTCCGATCGTTTGAAAATGTCTATGGGTTCGTGAAAAGAGAAAATGGAATCAGATTTTCTCTCTCTCTCTCTTTTTGTTCTTTTTTCCCTTCATTTCGTAGTCATAAAAGGTGATTCGCGGTTTCCGATCACCGAGTTCACGTCGGACAAGGATATATATATATATATTTAGGTAAAAAATAGGAAGATCATCTTACAGGAAAGGCCAGGGATTCGGTCGAGTCGCACGACGCGTCGTTTAGTAAATATTTTTGATCGCACCCCAGACTGCGAATTGACGTTTATCGACGTTCGCTAACGGGGGATGAACGAGGGTGAAACCAGACTCGGTAACGCGGAGGGTGGATCTATCGCAGCACCCTGCGACGTGCAACCTACCAAAGCCGACTCTCTCTCTCTCTCTCTCTCTCTCTCTCTCTCTCTCTCTCTCTCTCTCTCTCTCTCTCTCTTCCCCCCCTTTTCCCTCAGCTTCGGGGGAAATAATCCAGCCCCGGTTGTACACAGTTTCATCATACGAATATACGTGAGTCTATATAATAGATACACGTACGTTCCACCCACATACCGTTTCGATTTTCGTCGATAGCATCGCGTTTATTTACATTCTGCAACGCTTCCATTATTTCATCCTCCTCTCTTTTTCTCTTTTTTTTTTTCTCTTTTTCGTCTTCCATAAGTTCGTTATTTTTTGTTGAATTATTTCAACACCCGTTCCACTCTCTCCCCTTTATTTATATATATTTTTTTGTTTTTATTTTTCGTATTCTCCTCTGGTCCGCATTTTTTGAATAATTTCATAATAAACGTTCACAACGTAGAATGGCATTTTTGTATAACCATTTGACACTTCGTGCGTATAACATTAGGGTGCACATCCATCCATAAAAGCAATACTCGATAAATTGCAGTTTTTAAGTTTCTTTACCATTTTTGTCGGTGCTAAAATTTTGTATCTTTCATTTTTCTATTGCAACCAACGTTGTTGCTGCCGTCGTTTTCATCGAATGAAAAAAAAAACGGAATTTTATTGCGTCGCTAGGATAAGAGGGGGAAAAGTAATAATAATAATAAGAAGTAGAAGAAGAAGAAAATACATCGTGTTAGTTTTATCGTTACTTTGGGTTACGTTAAATTAAAGGAGAGGAAGAAAGGAAGGATTTATTTAGTCGTTCCTTGGAATATCGTCCTCGTTACACTTGGAAGAGCAGGAAGGAAAAGTCTCTCCCCCCCCCCCAATAGTTTCTCGTCCTCGCGACAAACGACTACCTCCTAAAATTACTTTCCGCTTGCACAACTTTCTTCCTTCCTTCCTTCCTTCCTTTCTTCCTTCCTTCCTTCCTTCCTTTCTTCCTTCCGTCCTTAACTCCCTCCCTACATCTTTCTTAACGGGAAATGACTGTGTATGTCGTCTAAGATCTCGAACGAATTACTAGGAAATTACAGATTTGCCAAGGCACCAACGAATCGTGCAAAGTAATCAAGTACTTACATAAATACACCAATACACGCGGATTCATTATTTCCTCTTACAATTAGTTATCGTATATCTCGGGAATTATTCGAATATATTCGAGAGGCGAATGGAAACGACAAGTAAGAAATGTTCATTCTCGAGAATCATGTTTAATATAAGTGTAGGAAAAGATATATAAGAATCAAGAACTAAATATAAGGAAAGAAAAACGCTCTTGTATTCTTCGAGTTCTTCTATTTTTAGTATTCTATCCAGCTTTTTAGAGAATTGGACTCTGGTAGGCTTCATTGGTCCAATCGAGGGTGGATAGGTGGATAAAGGGGGTGGGGAAGAAAAAGAAGAAGAAGAAGATATAATAGTGTCGTCTACGTTATTAGTGTGCGTGAAGGAACATGCGGGGGAGGAGGATGGGTCTCGCGTTTTCAACAACGCGGTTGCTTTGAGTAAAATTGGGATGTCGAGAAGAGAGGAAGCGAGGGTGGATGGGTGGTGGCTTCAGCAGCAGCACCACCACCACCATCACCACCACCACCACGGTGGCGACGCCGTGCCGTTTCCAACTATGTTGGAGGGGTGGTGGGTGCTGACACCGCGGCGCGAGGCAAAGAGGGTGAAATCAATACTCTGCGGTCTCCGCCCTCAGGAGTACACGGATGAATACGCGAACAAACACGAGCATCGCCGACTTCGTAGTCGTCGTCGTCGTAGTCGTCGTCGTCGTAGTCGTCGTCGTAGTAGTAGTCGACGGTGACGACGCCGTTTGTCCTCCCTTTCGTCCTCCCTTTTCAAGTCCCTTTCCAAATATCTCCGTAACGCCTAGCGCTCTCTCTTTCTCTATACTTTTTCTTTTAGATTCTTTACTCTTCCAGTTCGTTCTTTTCTTTTCTTTTCTTTTTTTCATTTTTCTTTTTCTCCTCACTTTTATATTCTTATAAAAATCGAGTTCGTTGAGATGAGAGAATAAAGCCGAGAATTTTTGTCG